AAGGGTATGCCGGGGCGCATATGGCACCTCTGCTCTCGCCGCCCCTGCACCAACAACACCATGGAACCTGTATATATATGTATATGTATATGTATATATATATATATATATATATATATATATATATATATATATATATATATATATATATATATATATATATATATATATATATATATATATATTATCCATCTATCCATTGAGACCACAAGGTCTCCTCTGAATACTTTTTATTTTCTTCTCCGAGGCTATGGGTCCCCACATTGGCACCAGAGGTGGTACCCTCACAAACTTTTATATATATTATATATATATATATATATATATATATATATATATATATATATATATATATATATATATATATATATATATATATATATATATATATATATATATATATATATATATATATATATATATATATATATATATATATATATATATATATATAATATATTGTATCGAGGTCCCCCCATGATCGAACTACTCAATCTTCCCCAGGATATAACCCAACAACAGTTGCCCAACTCCAGGGTACCACTTTACTGCTAGGTGAACAGAGGCATTAGGTGGAAAAGAAATATACCAAACTATATCTATCCCAACCGGGACCCCCGACTGTAATCTTGTATTTTCCTACGATCATTTAGATAATGACAGTGGGCACTGATAAAAGAATGCCTTTATAAAAGAGTTTATGTTAGCTGAATGGGTGTACCTCGTCCATTCCGCTGTAGACCAGGCAGCAAGTCGCCTAGGGGTATGCACACAGAAAAGTATACCCCACTGAGAGTTCACTTTGGTCCTTGACACGTAGAGGACCGAAGTATACTTGTTGGTGGTTATTCAAAGGTATTGTGTTTATAGGCCTTAAACTCGACATCAGAGGACCACACCGTGGCCGAGCAGCATAGCAGGACACCAAGCAAACCGCAGTGAGTGTGGGGCTGGATTCCCAGGATACGTCGTGGGCATCTCCATGGTCAGCATTTCGTAGGTTCCAAAGTTTACAAACATCAGATATGAAACAATGTTAAATAATTGTACTTTCGTCCAGGTGTAAAGATGAGCAATTCACTCAATACGAAACTGTGACTTTTTTAGATCACTAATGACATCTAAAAAAAAATTAGACCATTAAAGGCAAACTGTAATGAAATTTCTTTTTATATTTGCTTTAATTGAATATTTGGATAATACGTGTATAGTAGGACAAAAAAATAAAATAATTTCAGCACGTTTGCTAGGACTGACTGTGATTTTATGTTCAATACTAGAGGGGTATCCGGCGATGCCCGGGTCTATATTTATTCTGCCTCCCTCCCTCCTGTTCTCTCTCCTTTTAACCGGTTAACCCAAGTGCCTAGCCACTTGGGCTGCACGGTGGGGCGACGATCTCACTTCGTGCAGGTCGCCGTTCAATCCCCGACCGTCCAAGGGGGGGTTGGGCGCCATTCCTCCCCCCCCCCCCGTCCCATCCCCGACCCTTATCCTGACCCCTTCCAAGTGCTGTGTGTAGTCGTAATGGCTTAGCGCTCTCCACTGATAATTCCGTTGCCTCTCCCTTTTAACCCTTCCATCTCGCTTCCGTTGACACCTAAGTGTGCTTGTGGGTGTTGAGCTTTGGCTCTTTGGTCCCGCCTCTCAACTGTCAATCAACTAGTATACAGATTCTGGAGCCTATTGAGCTCTATCAAGTCTACATTTGAAACTGTGTATGAAGTTTGTCTCCACCACATCACTGAATAGTGCATTTCATTTGTTAACTACTCTGACACTGACAAAATTCTTTCTAATGTCTTTATGGCTCATCTGGGTACTAAGTTTCCACCTGTGTCCCTTTGTCGGAAAATCCGACACCATTTAATAATATTACATGCAGGCAGATAATATTGCTGCTGTATTGTATAAACAAGTTACCCATAGAAAATGTAACTTGTAGTGGAATTTCCGTCTATAGAAAACGGGATATCATTACCACATACTATTATAAATTCACCACCTATTATGGTGGGAATTATTCTTAAATACATTAGTCTTTGGACTTTACCATCATAAAAACATCTCATATAAATTAACTTAATTATCAGAATTAAAATAGAGTAAATGTGACCCTTCTATCACTTACTGTCATCTGGACAATGTAGACCAGTAGCGTCAGTTGTGAGGGAGTGGTCAGCCATTGTTATTGTACTTAGACCAGAGGCATGGGAGCAATTCGGCTCCTGTTAATTTTACTTGGACGAAGTGTTATGGAAACCAAAGGTGTACCATCATCAACACTCTGTCAACAAATACAAGTTAAGTGTTCTGTGTTTACAGATGTACAGTGTTTTCTCTGATATAGCTGTCATATATTAGGATTCTGGCTTCATAGCTAGCGCCCTTTTGACAGGTCAAGACGAGGAAGCAAGACTTTGTGCATCAGTTACTGGATGTTGGAAGCTACCTCAAAGAGGATAATTTGGTGTCTACATCCTAGTTATACCTGGTGGACTAAGGCCTGCTGTACAAATAAGATAAGGAACCTCTTCAATGTATGTAGTCTAATACTGTAGTTTGATTGGCTGCATATATATAAATTTAATATAAACCCCCCTAATGTGTAGAGGATCGATTTGTGAGATTATTGCAGAAATACAGTCCACTTATCATACAAATTGCTATCGAAGTATATAAATTAACGTAAATATAAATTCATATAAATTAAATAAATATAAATCTCACAGGTCGGTTCCCACACCCTTTGCCCGTGTTCCACCCGTGCTAAAGAGATTGTCTTTGTCCACCCTGTTAATTCCCCTGAGAATCTTGTAGATGGTTATCATGTCTCCCCTTACTCTTCTGTCTTCCAGGGACGTGAGGTTTAGCTCCCGTAGCCATTCCTCGTAGCTCATACCTCTCAGTTCTGGCACTAGTCTGGTGGCATACCTCTGAATCTTCTTTAACTTTGTCTTGCGTTTAACTAGGTATGGACTCCAGGCTAGAGCTGCATACTCCAGGATTGGTCTGACATAAGTGGTATACAGGGTCCTTACTCAAGTTTCTAAAGGCAGTTCTTATGTTGGCCAATCTAGCATATGCTAGCATGATTCCGTAGTGGGCAAAACATGTTCCAGTAACATTGAATCAACATTATCGTTGTTAAATGAACGTTACAGACGCTGATTAAACGTCGATAACAGCAGAAATATGGTGAACAAATATTCTGGGGTTAATCAAACCCACATTTCAAACATCAAATGACTCGTGGATTGTGGCAATAAAAGCCAGTTCTACGTCAGTTGAGCGTCTGGGAGTCGAACCCAGCCACCTTGTGACAGTCGTCGTGCTGTCACAATCCTCCTGGCAAAGTTTGGTAAGGCTCTAGCTCCAAGCGTCTGGCCCCCAACCTCGAACACACATAGTTATTTTTTACATTGTACCCTTTTGCATGTTATTAAAACTAAATGTTCATGGCATCTGTGATAGATAATAGACTCTTGATAGATAATGGCTGTCGATTCTGGCTCAAGATAAACTGCAAATAATGAAGATTTAATAAGCACAGCTGATTCTTTGACTCAATTTTAAGGAAAGGTTCAGTGAGGATATTACTGCTTTCTACAGTTTCTTTACGTACCTCATAGAATACATGAAGATATCTGACAACTACAGGACTATTGCTCCTATGGTATTTTCTAAAATATTTATTGTACTTAACTTTGACAAGTGTTTTCGAGGCGTCATTAAACAGAGAATATTGTTTTAAGATTCGCTACTTGGAACAAAAAGTTCTAAGTAGCACGGGCTATGGTGAGCCCGTAGTGGACTTAAGGAACATTCCGCCTTTACTGTCACGTTACTGATGACTTCCCGGTATGAGCGTAGAGGTGTAGACGCAAAGTAATTATGAATTAATTATTTCTCCATAAAATCAACACATTTCTCTCATAGTAATTATAGGCATTATAAATGACATACAAGGAATTTCTACATATATACGAGCTTTGTGAGTCTCTGGCACACATGACTGTTCCTGTTTTTGTGGTTCAGTAACAGGTGTGTTTCATTTATGGAATAAAGTTACCGGGTAACATAAAAAGTTGTGTGATGTCACTGGCATACGTAGACATACCTATGTCAGCAGGCATAGGTAGACATATTAAACCAGCTTGAGTGCAGGGGGAACAAGAGCTGCCTCGTATGGGGACAATAAGCCTTCAGCAGGCACGGAACGTGTCTCTATTACTCCTCTCTCTCTCCTATATTTATTGTAGGAAAAATTAAACACTCTGGAAGATTATAATTACACATATATATACCTGTTTATATATATTAGCTGTGATTATCCCAATATGGGATCAAACACATTCCATTTTAATTTCGTTTCAGTCTTAAAGTAATATATTTTTTCTTTGCGATACGGTGCAGTTTGCATGAAGGTTTTTCCTCCCGATGACTGCATTAAAGTTATATAATTCTCCAAACATTATTCTACAAAAATATAGTTAAGAAACCCTTTATCACAGTTGTTAAAAGTAAAACGTTTGTATTACGGTGTTTTTTTTTTTTATATGTAATTTTGGACATCTATATGTATGTTCGTGACAGCCTGTGTGTGTGTGTATGTGTGTGTGTGTGTGTGTGTGTGTGTGTGTGTGTGTGTGTGTGTGTGTGTGTGTGTGTGTGTGTGTGTGTGTGTGTACTCACCTAGTTGTGCTTGCGGGGGTTGAGCTCTGGCTCTTTGGTCCCGCCTCTCAACTGTCAATGAACAGGTGTACAGGTTCCTGAGCCTATTGGGCTCTATCAAATCTACACTTGAAACTGTGTATGGAGTCAGCCTCCACCACATCACTTCCTAATGCATTCCATTTGTCAACCACTCTGACACTAAAAAAGTTCTTTCTAATATCTCTGTGGCTCATCTTGGCACTCAGTTTCCACCTGTGTCCCCTAGTGCGTGTGTCCCTTGTGTTAAACAGCCTGTCTTTATCAACCCTGTCGATTCCCTTGAGGATCTTGTGTGTGTGTGTGTGTGTGTGTGTGTGTGTGTGTGTGTGCGCGCGTGTTTGTGTGTCTAGCTTCGTGGCAAAGTGTGGTTCACGCAGTAGTGACAGAACGAGTAGCTTATGTTAAGGATAAGACCTATGGTCTTTCACACGTCTAGGACGCACAGCTTCTGGATTACAACTCTTTCTCAGGCCGGGGACGAGTCTCGTAAGCCCGGCGACAAGACTGAAGCATGAACCATCACGAACTCTTGAAGGAGCTGTCGCCAGTTGAGGACATGTTATCGGTGGACGAGTTGGACTCTTCATCATCGTCGCTGTCTGAGAACTCGTACTCGTAGGGCTGTCCGGGCTTGATGGTGTCGCCTCCCTTTTCCTCCCACTCACTGAAGGAGCCGCGGTAGATCCTGTGGGAGGAAGAAAGTCATTCTCGTCGTCCGTAAAGAGGGAGTGAAGGAAGGAGGGAGGCGCAGGAATGATGATGAGATATTACATGAAATTATTTCACAACCTGCTGACCAAACACGAGTCAGCTGCTGAGTAGTGATGATACAGGCAAACTTCTGCTATTTCATTATACAGACCTACCCAAATATTGAATATTTATCGCAGTTATGAGCAAGAATTGCAATTAAGGTGTATTGAAGCAACACAAAAAAAATGAAGTGTTTGAGCAATGTTTAATATGTTCGTGACAAAAATAAGAAATATTCATTTAATAGCATCTTTGATAGAGAATAGTTGGGATCGCAGAGAGCACATGTCGACCCCCTCGGCTTCAAGCCGGATATGTGCAGCCTGGAGCCAGCTGGCTGTACCTGTTGGCAGCAATGTTTACCTGTGGCTCTTGAAGCCCTTAGCCTGCAGGATATCGCAGGCGGTCTTGGAGCGGACGCCCGTCCTGCAGCACACCACGAGGGGTTCCTGCGTCCCGGGCTTCTCAAACCCGTACCTGGACTTGAAGGTCTCCTCGTCCAGGCCACACGCGTACTTGATCTCCGTCACTGTAAGGTAAGGTGATGAACAGAGCGTAAAGCCACTATGACAGAGCATGGGATCTGGGAGTGGAGGAGATAGAACGAACGAACGGCGCCCATCCACATGGCTGGGTCCTCGTTCGATTCTTGGGGATCGAACGAGGACCCTGCGCAGGAAGCAACGCCGTCGTTCTGCCGACCAGTTCAAGAGGTTGGACACAATATATGTGGTTATTACTCCTATTGGTTAGAGAGCACTAACTACTACTTTGACCAACGATTAATGGGTATACTACTGAAGATGGTTACAAAATTCACAGTACTCTGATTTGCTGAAAAAATATTTAATTATTACTTGAGGAAATCTTTGGAGCAGGCCGGGAATCGAACCTGGGTCGCCCTAGACGCACATCTTAACCCATAAGCCACAATATTGTAAGGTTTACCCAGAACGCGAATTCGAGCCCCGTTCTACTCTACAGATTTCATCATAGATATCTCAGTCTGTTGTGATTTTCTTGTGTATTATAACTTGTGCAGGAGAATATTCGTGAACTATTAATAATTAACCCCCAGAAAGTATCTCTATACCTCAGGGTGCCAAAAAGATAGTTGCTTAATATTTAGAATTTTCCTCGAATGTGTGAGAGGATGATGGCTCTTGACGGGAGGCGGGGGAGAGAGGCCATGTCGTAGCTCAGTCGATTAAGGCAGCGTCTGGGATGCTCTCGGACGCAGGTTCGAATCCTCGTCACGGCCCTTGTGGATTTGTTCGGCTGGGAGAGGGATTTGTAAGTGAGGCTGCAAAAATCGTGTATGGGGGTAGGGGATGGAGAGGGACACCCCGAGGGGTCAGGACCCACCTAGGATGGAGTGGGGCACCCCGAGGGGTCAGGACCCACCTGGGATGGAGTGGGACACCACGAGGGGTCAGAACCCACCAGGGATGGAGTGGGACACCCCGAGGGGTCAGGACCCACCTGGGATGGAGTGGGACACCCCGAGGGGTCAGGACCCACCTGGGATGGAGTGGGACACCCCGAGGGGTCAGGACCCACCTGGGATGGAGTGGGACACCCCGAGGGGTCAGGACCCACCTGGGATGGAGTGGGACACCACGAGGGGTCAGAACCCACCTGGGATGGAGTGGGACACCCGGAGGGGTCAGAACCCACCAGGGATGGAGTGGGACACCCCGAGGGGTCAGGACCCACCTGGGATGGAGTGGGACACCCCGAGGGGTCAGGACCCACCTGGGATGGAGTGGGACACCCCGAGAGGTCAGGACCCACCTGGGATGGAGTGGGACACCCCGAGGGGTCAGGACCATCCTGGGATGCAGTGGGACACCACGAGGGGTCAGAACCCACCAGGGATGGAGTGGGACACACCGAGGGGTCAGGACCCACCTGGGATGGAGTGGGACACCCCGAGGGGTCAGGACCCACCAGGGATGGAGTGGGACACCACGAGGGGTCAGGACCCACCAGGGATGGAGTGGGACACCCCGAGGGGTCAGGACCCACCAGGGATGGAGTGGGACACCCCGAGGGGTCAGGACCCACCTGGGATGGAGTGGGACACCACGAGGGGTCAGGACCCACCTGGGATGGAGTGGGACACCCCGAGGGTCAGGACCCACCTGGGATGGAGTGGGACACCCCGAGGGGTCAGGACCCACCTGGGATGGAGTGGGACACCACGAGGGGTCAGAACCCACCAGGGATGGAGTGGGACACCCCGAGGGGTCAGGACCCACCTGGGATGGACCCGAGGGGTCAGGACCCACCTGGGATGCAGTGAGACCCTGGGATCTGGCCGGCCTGCTGCAGTTCGACACGGTTGCGGACATCGATGACGGTGACCCGGCCCAGGTTGCCGGCCAGTTCGTCGTAGCTGATCTCTGAAAGTCACACACGAGGTCACTCATCATCGCTGATGTTGATTGATGATAACTGCTGGTGACTGATGATAACTGAGGATGATTGACGCTAACAGAAAACGATTGATAATAACTGGTGATGATTGACGATAACTGTAAGTGACCAAAAATGGTTGACTACTGGTGATAATTGATGTGATGTATATATCATTAACCAAACATTACCTTGTGGGTCTCAGCCTTTGTAAACGGGATGGTCCCGTTTTATATATATATATATATATATATATATATATATATATATATATATATATATCAAACTGAAAACTCACACCCCAGAAGTGACTCGAACCCATACTCCCAGAAGCAACGCATCTGGTATGTACAAGACGCCTTAATCCACTTGACCATCACGACCGGACATAATGAGGTGATAGCCGAGGCTATTTGAACCACCCCACCGCCGGCACTCGGATAGTTATCTTGGGCATAGCATTTTACCAAATCACCTCATGATAGCCGAGGCTATTTGAACCACCCCACCGCCGGCACTCGGATAGTTATCTTGGGCATAGCATTTTACCAAATCACCTCATTCTTTGGGGCAACACGTGAGGAACACAAATGCGAACAAGCCTGAATGGTCCCCAGGACATATGCAACTGAAAACTCACACCCCAGAAGTGACTCGAACCCATACTCCCAGAAGCAACGCATCTGGTATGTACAAGACGCCTTAATCCACTTGACCATCACGACCGGACATAATGAGGTGATAGCCGAGGCTATTTGAACCACCCCACCGCCGGCACTCGGATAGTTATCTTGGGCATAGCATTTTACCAAATCACCTCATTCTTTGGGGCAACACGTGAGGAACACAAATGCGAACAAGCCTGAATGGTCCCCAGGACATATGCAACTGAAAACTCACACCCCAGAAGTGACTCGAACCCATACTCCCAGAAGCAACGCATCTGGTATGTACAAGACGCCTTAATCCACTTGACCATCACGACCGGACATAATGAGGTGATAGCCGAGGCTATTTGAACCACCCCACCGCCGGCACTCGGATAGTTATCTTGGGCATAGCATTTTACCAAATCACCTCATTCTTTGGGGCAACACGTGAGGAACACAAATGCGAACAAGCCTGAATGGTCCCCAGGACATATGCAACTGAAAACTCACACCCAGAAGTGACTCGAACCCATACTCCCAGAAGCAACGCATCTGGTATGTACAAGACGCCTTAATCCACTTGACCATCACGACCGGACATAATGAGGTGATAGCCGAGGCTATTTGAACCACCCCACCGCCGGCACTCGGATAGTTATCTTGGCATAGCATTTTACCAAATCACCTCATTCTTTGGGGCAACACGTGAGGAACACAAAAGTATGGGTTCGAGTCACTTCTGGGGTGTGAGTTTTCAGTTGCATATGTCCTGGGGACCATTCAGGCTTGTTCGCATTTGTGTTCCTCACGTGTTGCCCCAAAGAATGAGGTGATTTGGTAAAATGCTATGCCCAAGATAACTATCCGAGTGCCGGCGGTGGGGTGGTTCAAATAGCCTCGGCTATCACCTCATTATGTCCGGTCGTGATGGTCAAGTGGATTAAGGCGTCTTGTACATACCAGATGCGTTGCTTCTGGGAGTATGGGTTCGAGTCACTTCTGGGGTGTGAGTTTTCAGTTGCATATGTCCTGGGGACCATTCAGGCTTGTTCGCATTTGTGTTCCTCACGTGTTGCCCCAAAGAATGAGGTGATTTGGTAAAATGCTATGCCCAAGATAACTATCCGAGTGCCGGCGGTGGGGTGGTTCAAATAGCCTCGGCTATCACCTCATTATGTCCGGTCGTGATGGTCAAGTGGATTAAGGCGTCTTGTACATACCAGATGCGTTGCTTCTGGGAGTATGGGTTCGAGTCACTTCTGGGGTGTGAGTTTTCAGTTGCATATGTCCTGGGGACCATTCAGGCTTGTTCGCATTTGTGTTCCTCACGTGTTGCCCCAAAGAATGAGGTGATTTGGTAAAATGCTATGCCCAAGATAACTATCCGAGTGCCGGCGGTGGGGTGGTTCAAATAGCCTCGGCTATCACCTCATTATGTCCGGTCGTGATGGTCAAGTGGATTAAGGCGTCTTGTACATACCAGATGCGTTGCTTCTGGGAGTATGGGTTCGAGTCACTTCTGGGGTGTGAGTTTTCAGTTGCATATGTCCTGGGGACCATTCAGGCTTGTTCGCATTTGTGTTCCTCACGTGTTGCCCCAAAGAATGAGGTGATTTGGTAAAATGCTATGCCCAAGATAACTATCCGAGTGCCGGCGGTGGGGTGGTTCAAATAGCCTCGGCTATCACCTCATTATGTCCGGTCGTGATGGTCAAGTGGATTAAGGCGTCTTGTACATACCAGATGCGTTGCTTCTGGGAGTATGGGTTCGAGTCACTTCTGGGGTGTGAGTTTTCAGTTGCATATGTCCTGGGGACCATTCAGGCTTGTTCGCATATATATATATATATATATACACATATATATTTACTTTATTTGAACTTTGTTACAAAAAGGAGTTACATATGGGTTACAAAGATGGTTATCATAGGTTGTCGAGTTCCTCCAGCTCCTCAGATGGCGGGCAGGAACCCTGGATGCAGTGCGCATTTCCCCTCTGTATCGCCACACTGAGGCGCTGGAAAAGAAAGCTTGCAGCTCTTGGGTCCCTTGTTGTTTCAATGAGCCTAGAACCCAGTTCCTTAAAAAAACTTGTAGCACTTTTATTCCAGGCGCCAAGTGTCTCAGAAGCAATGGGGACAAAATTGTAGTGGTGATCCAGTTCTCTATACTTACGGGATTTGGCTGCTTCCCTGTGGGTGGCAGCGCCACCTGGTTGTGCAACACTGAGGTTAATGTAGGTGTTAGCCAGGGTTGATACGCACGTGTAGTCCCATACCAACTGCTTGCCATTCTTCTATATATATATATATATATATATATATATATATATATATATATATATATATATATATATATATATATATATATATATATATATATATAACTGAAAACTCACACCCCAGAAGTGACTCGAACCCATACTCCCAGGAGCAACGCAACTGGTATGTACAAGACGCCTTAATCCACTTGACCATCAACGACCGGACAAAATGAGGTGATAGCCGAGGCTATTTGAACCACCCCACCGCCGGCACTCGGATAGTAATCTTGGGCATAGCATTTTACCAAATCACCTCATTCTTTGGGGCACACGTGAGGAACACAAATGCGAACAAGCCTGAATGGTCCCCAGGACAATATGCAACTGAAAACTCACACCCCAGAAGTGACTCGAACCCATACTCCCAGGAGCAACGCAACTGGTATGTACAAGACGCCTTAATCCACTTGACCATCAACGACCGGACAAAATGAGGTGATAGCCGAGGCTATTTGAACCACCCCACCGCCGGCACTCGGATAGTAATCTTGGGCATAGCATTTTACCAAATCACCTCATTCTTTGGGGCACACGTGAGGAACACAAATGCGAACAAGCCTGAATGGTCCCCAGGACAATATGCAACTGAAAACTCACACCCCAGAAGTGACTCGAACCCATATTCCCAGGAGCAACGCAACTGGTATGTACAAGACGCCTTAATCCACTTTGGTTCCCCACTTTGGGTGGTTCAAATAGCCTCGGCTATCACCTCATTTTGTCCGGTCGTTGATGGTCAAGTGGATTAAGGCGTCTTGTACATACCAGTTGCGTTGCTCCAGGGAGAATGGGTTCGAGTCACTTCTGGGGTGTGAGTTTTCAGTTGCATATTGTCCTGGGGACCATTCAGGCTTGTTCGCATTTGTGTTCCTCACGTGTGCCCCAAAGAATGAGGTGATTTGGTAAAATGCTATGCCCAAGATTACTATCCGAGTGCCGGCGGTGGGGTGGTTCAAATAGCCTCGGCTATCACCTCATTTTGTCCGGTCGTTGATGGTCAAGTGGATTAAGGCGTCTTAATCATACATACCAGTTGCGTTGCTCCTGGGAGTATGGGTTCGAGTCACTTCTGGGGTGTGAGTTTTCAGTTGCATATTGTCCTGGGGACCATTCAGGCTTGTTCGCATATATATATATATATATATATATATATATATATATATATATATATATATATATATATATATATATATATATATTATTATATATAATATATTATATATATATATATATTATTATATATATATATATATATATATATATATATAATTATTTTTTAAATCATTTAAAATCAAAAGCTTTATTCATAAATATAGTTGTACATTTATAATTGGGAAAGTATTTACTTAAAACTTACAGTACATTAATCACATAAGTCGCAATAACAGCGCAGCACGTAAACACTGTCATTATCAGAATTACAAACTTTATTCCTAACAACTTATATATTATATATATTGTGCCTGAATATTACCGAAAGGGTAAGATTAATGATTCTAACACGAATCTTCTCAATATTTCTTATGTTTTTCTTCACTGCCGAGGGAAGTTGAGAAATCAACTCTCCAAAGATCATTTTCACACTTTACTATGGTCTCGCGTCTTGTGATGCGTTTCGCTAGACATAAGGAGTACCTTGAGAATGTAAGGAGCACCTTGCGAAACGCATCCCTAGGCGTCAGACTATAATTCTGGCAGATTCTTTCCTTCCATTTTCAATATCAGCATGCTCCCTTCAACATCAAGAACCGCCAGCAATACGTTACAAAATGTATTATCCAGTCTCTCCTTCCCACAAACCACCGCCCTACCTTCCCCGTGAGCCGCCCACCTGCGGCCCGCCGGCTCCCAATCAACACTCGATTGATTGATTGATGAAGATTAAGCCACCCAAGAGGTGGCACGGGCATGAATAGCCCGTAAGTGGAGGCCCTTTTGAGACATTACCAATATCAATAGATGATACAGGAGATCTGTGGAGGTGCGACTGCACCCTGCGTGACGGGAGATGTCT